ATATATGAAGTACTTTAAAAACAAAATTTCTAGTGAATCAGAGAAATGTCTTATAAAGTAGTCGATCTTCGAATTGAGCTTATATAATATATCGCACTATAACTTTTATATTTATCTACATATGTATCTCAGACACTTTAGCTATTTTTCTCAATATATATATATATATTATATAGCAATATACATTTTATTATATAACATATATATCTGAGACACTTTAACAATTTTTTTTTTTTTCCATTTTTTATTTCCACTTTAATTGCAATTATAGATCAGCTTACAAACCCGTTCTCTAGCTGCTTGTCTAAAAATAACTTTGAGCCCAGCCAAGTTTTATTGCCTTTCAATGTGGTTTAAACAGATCTTAAAATGTACTCACCATTTTGTATGAGTTTTGTTGTATTAACTGTAACTGTCTTGAGCTGTTGACTGTGGTTAAAAACTGCGGCGGGTTCTGCAAACTGTGCCAAAATGTTTGCGAAACTTCTGGCCAAGCGGCTTATATATGCTAACCAAAACGGGGGGGTTGACGTCGACTCCTCTGGGCGGTTATTGCGGTCTTCTCTTTGCATAATACGCGGCGGCGATGGCTGCGGATGCTGCTGATTACAAAGGCGCCCCTCAAGACAACTGTATAAATTAGATAGAGCAGTTGTATGTATGTTAGCATTTGAGTAAGTTTATGATTATGATTATGTGTTACGTTGATTAGAATGCGCTCTCCCTTATCACTTGTTGCTGCTGTGTTTTAATGTGCATGTCGAATGCTTCTATTCCATCCATTGAATTCATCTCCATCTTCATCTTCATTCTCGTCGTTGGCATCTACAGTGCAATTTGTTTAGCCCACAAAGGCTGTCATTAGCCGAATGTTCAGCAAGGACGACTCATTATGCACATCGATATGCGCTTATTGAGCATGCCAAGTGCGAAAGGCGAAAGCCTTTCACTTTCCCAAACAGCGGGCTATCACTGGCACAGCCAGCGACAGAGATGCGGGGCTTAGCGGAAAAGAAGCTAAAATAGCTGTTATAGATGTGGCATTAGTAAATGGGATTATATATATGTAGTTGGTTTAAAATATTTTGCTTTAGATATAAATATACTTACAATATTTAATTTTGTTATTTTTAGTTATATTATAAAAACGTATATTGAAAAATTAGTTTATTTCAATATTTACTCACATATTTGCATATAACAATATTGAAAGTTCTGTAAGATGTAGCTTATTTAAGAACAATAAATTAATTTTTAAAATTATTTAAAATTTTTTTACAATGTAAATTTTATTTTAAATATTTACACAATTCGTTTCGTTCATTTTCGAATTCTAAACGTTTATTTAAATTAGCCATGATGTCCATGTCCATGCCCATGACCATGACCGTGGCCACCTCCGCCTCCGCCTTCGGCGCCTCCACCACCAACAATCACCGGCTTGACCACGACAATGGGCTTCACAACGACGGGCTTCACGAACACCGGCTTGGGCTTGACGAACTTGGCGGGCAATTGGCTTAGAAGCTGCACTGGATCTGGCAGACTGGACAGTTTCTCCTGCAGAAGCATTACCTTCCCTTGGGACTTCACAAACACTGGCTTCGACTTCAGCTTGGCGGGCAGTTGGCTTAGAAGCTGCACTGGATCTGGTAGATTGGAAAGCTTCTCCTGCAATAGCGCTGGCTTCACGAGCATCGGCTTGGAATTAATCAACTTGGCGGGCAGTTGGCTTAGTAGCTGCACTGGATCTGGTAGATTGGAAAGTTGCTCCTGCACAAGCGTTGCCTTTCCTTGAAATTTATCCAGTGTGGGCGTGGCCAGCGCACAGGCTGCAGTGGCCAGCAGGAGCAGCAGTCGACACCTGAGCAGTTGCATAGTTAACAATTTATGAAGTCGTCCAACCTGATGTTGGACTATTTATGGTTGAGCAATAGTCAGCATGAAAAACTTAATTGGCATTCACAAAATGTCGCCTCTTTTTCGCTCTGCGCTCTTCACGCTTATTCAAATTCTCGATTATCGCTCAAAACTCCTGTGGTTGTTGTTGTTGTCGAGAATTCCCCCAGTTRTAAGTTGAATTAATGATTATTCTGTTGGCATTCAGTCGCACGCTTCTCTAGATTCTCAATCAGAGAAATGACGTCTTCAGCTCTTTTTATAACATATATACATATATATAAGGTTTATACAGTCCAAAAGAGCACTTGCTTTGCATTTCGCATGATTTGAATAAATTTCTGTTTGTTTTACTAAAACATATCCCGATTTCAATTGCGGAAGTCAAATACATTCTGTCTTACATACTTTCATGTCGCTGAGCAAGCAATCGAATAGTTCATCAAGCTAAATATATGTATATAAATGCATTTAAATATTTAATTATATTTGAATTTCAATTTTATTCTCTTCAAAGAAAAACGTAAAAGTTTACATTTCAAAGTTTATGATCAGCTGTTTTGGAATTATCGTCATTCATTCAAATTTATAACGAAAAGCAATTTTTTGCGTTTTTCATTACTGCAAATGTCTTCGCGCTTTACAGCACTGCTCACAATGAGTCGTTGAAAACTCAAATATATTTATGTAAAAAATTTGAAAACGTGTTCGTTGTGAAATGTATGTGTGTGTATGCGTGTCGTATGCGTGTGTGTATGTATGTGTTTGTGTATGTATGTATGTGTGTGTGTATGTGTGTCGTATGTGTGTGTGCTGATGTTTGTGTGTGTGCTGAATTGTATGCCTGGTGTGGGTATATATATGTGTGTGTGTGTATGCGTGTGGTGGTGTATGTGTGTGCGTGTGCACATGTATACCTATGCTGACATACATGATTATTCTTGTTTATTGTCTGTTTTGGTTAAGTCGCTCAAAACGTCTGCGCTCCATTTCGCGAAATTGACGCCGCTGAGCCGGTGTTGCGCCCACCAATTGGCGTATAATAAGATTGTTCTCAGAATACTCCCTTGGATTGTAGGTAGGTGCCGGTGGCTCATCATCCCAGTTCTCGGAGCACTCCACCAAGTCGACTTGAGACGGACGCGGCTCTTTCGGCGGCAATGCATCGGGATGCAGAAAACGTTCCAAATCGCAACGGTTCGGACAGTTTAGCAAATGGTTCTGCAAATATTTATTTTTGAGCTTCCCTTGTAGTTCATTTATGGGCGACATATACTTACATTCAATACCTTGGGTTTCACCACATGGGTGTTGTTAAACGGACAGCGCACCATGCCGCTGCTGAAATTATTGCGGGCACAGCGCGTTAGGTGCCAGGCGAAGCGGCCTGGTAGCAAGCTATGACTCTCGTCATATGGGCATTTTATATATTCATCAATATTTGGTTCTATTTTAGGTTGAATATTCGATTTGGCAGCCGGTTTGGCCGTCGATTTGGAAGTTTTCTTTGAAGAAGACATCTCGGAAAATTTTCTTTGAGCAGTGAAAACTAAAAAAAATGGTTGCAAAACACAATTTTCACTTGCATGTGATTACTACTTACATAAATAATAGGTTTATATATTTTCTCCCTATTTATTAAATTTTTAACTTTCTCAGCTAAAATTTTTCTTCGTTCTTTGCAGTTCGAATATTCAAGAAGGAATAGAACGATTGTAATAACAGCTACTCATTAGGTGCGGTTGAAAAGTGCCGTTAGCTGCTAAGTTAACACGATTTTGTTTATAGAATATGTCGCGAAATTTTTAATAGAATATTAATGCGCTTCGGAATGATTACTGAAAGCTTGACCCACTCTTACTGAAAGACCTTTTTTTGCAATGAGCACCACTATTTATACTCGAAGTATCAATCCAAAGCCTATTAAGTTAGCTGCATTAAGTTTTTAGGCAAAAAATAGTAACTTTAAATCGCTCTGTTGAGCAGCGAATGTGAATTTTTAAATCTGTACTAGATGCCTTGAAATCTCCGTTACATGTCGTGACTGGGTACTCTAAAAATACTTGTACACGGTAACGAGCTGACGAGTACCCATCCCTGGATCTGTGAACTAGCATTAATGAACGGAAAAAAACAATAGTAATCGGCTATTTATTTATTTAAAGTAGAAATGGACGAAAGCGTTATAGAAATTAACGATTCAATAATAACAATTGGGAGCGAGGCCGATTTGGAAGATGGGGAAGTGCAGGAAATATCCACAGAGCAGATAAACAATGCCGCCAATTTGCAGCAACCCCCAATCAAAGAACCAAGCGAAGCAACGAATGACCAGGTACAGCAAAACGAAAGAGAGAAACAAAACAAATTGCTAAATTGTTCATTTTATAAATGATAATGTTAATTTAATACAGCAGAACTCAAATACAACTGAAGAAGACTTGGTATTCGAAGTGAGATTTAAAAATGTGGACGAATATGACAGGCTGCAAGAGCGTCTGCTCCAAGCGCTGCAGTCGACTTTTGCCGCGGAGAAATTTGAGTACAAAACAACGGAGCAGAGGATTACCGTGCACTCCCAATCGAAATCTCCAGCACCGGACAATGATCTATTTATGATAGACACGGCGCCGACGTGCAAGCTAAATGCCGCCCAAGTGCCTTCATACAAACGCTGTCATGGCGAGGTGCTCGACGAGGAGACCTTCGAAAGAAAAAAACGAAAACTGGATGAGGTTAACAAATGCTTCCGCCCTAAAGCGCAATCCGCTTGCTTTAATTGCGGTGGCACAGATCATTCGCTGCGTGAGTGCACGCGGCCGCGCAATCAGGCGCGCATTCAGCGGGCACGCAAGAAGAAGGTGGAGCGGTATCACGTGGATACGGAGCAACGTTTCGCGCACATTCGACCTGGAAAGATTAGCAGCAAGACGCGCCATGCCATGGGCTTTAGCCGCGGAGAGTTGCCATTCATGTTCTATCGCATGCGTGTGCTGGGCTATCCGCCCGCCTGGCTGGAGGAGGCAAAGGTTCAAAGCTCTGGCATATCGCTCTTCAATGCGGATGTAAGTGAGAGTCGATATATGGTTAGATATATTTATATAAAATTCGTTGTCTACTCTTGCAGGGCAGCGAGGTGCAGGCACCAGAGCAAGAGGAAGGCGAATCCGAAAGCTTTAAATATGATGTCAATAAAATAATCGACTTTCCGGGCTTCAATGTGCATCCAGGTGCCAAGTTCTATGATGTAATTATGGGCACATCTATATGGCCAGCAGAATTCTAAACATCATTTCTCTCTCCAGGATTACCAGCATCACAACGTGCCACGCTTTCAGCAGCATCAGCTAAAAGAAAACTTTATCAAGTCGCTGGGCGAGAATGTGACGAAAGGCTATAAACGCAAGAAATTGATAGACCTGCCGGCGTCACATGATACTAGTCTCAAAGACCGTGAGAATGACACAAATCTCGTAGAACACGATATGGAWCTGGATGATGATGATGAGCTGGAGCAGTCTGAAGAGCAGCCATCTTTGCCTTTTGCAGACGCCACTGAAACTGCACCGCCGGCCAAAGAGGAGCCGAGCAAGCGCAGTCCATCGCCCACGTTGGACGATCTGCAAGCGCAGCAGGCGAAACTTTTACAGCAACTGGACGCCAATACCTCCCTCAACACAAGTGAAGTGGAGACCAAGGCCGCTCCAGATGCCGAAGTTAATGAAAAAAGCCAAGAAATTCCATTGAAGCCCGCCGCTTCTAGTCAAACTGCAATTTTCAAAGCCCCATCCATAGCGGGCACGCCCATATTGAAGTTCTCCGTGTACGACAAGCTGCCCGTGGGCGACAACTTCAAGGTGGGCGTCAGCGATGTTATCAACTTTGAGAATCTGCCCGATTCCACGGGCAAATATGAGCAAATGAAAGGAGTGCTCAAGAATGTGCGGCGCAAAATGGAAGAGCTGCAAAACAATGAGGATTAAGCAATAAGCAAGCATTTTCAAACATAGCAATACAAATTGTAAGACGTCGCTTTTAAATTATTCGAACCATAGGCATATGTAAATCATTTTAACTGTTCCAAGTGCATTTTGCACCATTTTAATTTAGGTGCAGACAAAATTTATTTACCAATTATAAATTGCACATAGAGAAATGATGTTCATGTATGTATATAGTATTTAATTCCGTAAGAATTTGTACAAAAGTTTGATATTGATTAAACGCGATAGACGAAGATATAGAAAGAGAGAGATTAAACTAGTTAAATGACACACTCAAAAACAGAGACATATGCACATACAAATGGTTATATAACATATACAGCATATATATAACATCAATATTCAATATTCACAATTTGATTTCATTGCATTTAGTTTATTATTATTTTTTGTCTTCCACTATAGATACATACATATAATTATATATATACACATAGGTTATATATGCTGGCAGAGTTGGCCTCTGTGTGTGTCTGGGTATGTCCTTGTATATATATGCACACACACATATATATGTATGTAATCGTGTGTGTGTGTGTAGTTTGGTTAAATAGAAAGAAAAATGAAAATGCAAGCTCTCATCGTTTATGCAGCTTTCCACGCTTAATTGATGGCCGGKGGCTGCGGCGGCGGCGCTCCATCTGGATTGTTGTCCCGGCGACTTGGCTTAGTGTTGGTCAATTGACGCCAAGTGCTTGGGTTCACGATATACATGAACATGGCCAACAGCATGAACACCATGGCAATGGTGAAACTATTGCCAGAATCACGTCCGGAAAACGCCTGACCCGGGTGCAAGGTGCGTCCGCTAACTGCGGAAGTCGATTAGATTAGACTACTTTAATAAATGTCTACGATAATAATTTACCATCTATGCACTCGGTGTCTGTGCAGGCATTCTGATTCTGACGTATCTGTTAATGATACAATTACACATATTATATATACATATATACATTTACATAGTCTAGTCAGCTGTCCACTCACAAAATTGATAAGCCGTTGCATCGCCAATTCATGCGACCAAATGCATTCGCAGCCATCAAACTCGTCAGCCATAATTGAAAATTCCCTTCTTCCCTTGCTGTTGTGCTTGACGATGCTGCTGCAAGATATGTAAATGGAATTGCGTTTTTATATTCAATTAACCCTACAAAGAGTAACAATATATATATATATGTATAAAAAGTTAAAGCTATATTGTGCACTATTATTAACAATTTGGTACTGACGTGGCAAAGTAATAGGAGTGACAAGGCGTACAAAACACAACTGGCAATAATATCAAATAGTACAAATCACAAAACCGTATTTGAAAATGTTCTCAGCTGAAACGAATTGTTATTTTCCGTTTTCTCCTCTTCAGTTTGTTTTTGTTGTCGTTTTGCAAGCGAAACAAAACGCGTATAAATGATTAAACGTAACTCTCCGATAGTAGAGAGCCCGTACTATAACTATAGTGGGTACACGGCAATAAAAATGAATATATGTATGTATATTTTATGTGTGTGTGCATACAGTAGAAAACTTAATTAACGAACTGCTCTCTAGTTGTCGAATGTTATCAAAGTCTAAAACTGATATTTAATGACTAAACCAAATTTTTATAAAAATTTCAAATTAATTTTTGTCTGAAACGTGTTAAAAATGTTTTCGAATAAATCTGATCATTTTAAAGTAAATTATCATTTTTTTTTATTTATTTATTTATTTTTTTTTTTGTGTGTATGTTTTGAAAGAAAAAGCAATATTGAATTAGATTTTTTTTCATTTCAAAACATTTTTGTTTTTTAACTTATATATAATATTGTCCAATAATATTTAAATATATATAATCCAACAATTAAAAAAATTCAGCATCTTTATTTTACTTCGTTAAAAATGCAAAAAACAATTTGCAAATTTCTAAAAAAATAAATGGTTATAAACACACATTCTGCAAAATAGTATATATTTTAGTATAGTAGGCTTTCACTGTATGTGCTTCAATATTTCTGATAAAGTCGGTGCTTTGATTTAGAGCAAGAGAGTCGCTGTTAATACGCCATCATTTTAAATAGCCTAAACAAAAATTTCAAGCGTAATTCATGTGTGTGTGTGACACACAAACATGTATRCATACATATATTGTATGTACCGTATGCATGTGTTGGTATGCCGCAGCAATAGAAAGAGAACTGTTCTCATCCAAGCTTTACTTCCAATACACATAATCGACCTTGGACAGAAACGCCTATTATTTAAAGATTACAAATTTAAGCATAACGCTCCAAGCGAAATTTATAGAGTAAGAAGGGAAAACATATTGATACACAAACACTTTCACACATACATTTGTTTGTTTGTTTGTGTAATAAGAGTAGGTGACTGGACTTTCACGCAAACATGTAGCTGCGCTTTTTTGCTTAATTAGCAAAGCTAATTTAATTGGAATGTTTGTTATAACACAGACGTATATTATTTTTTTCTTTTTCAAGCCGATTGATATTTTGACTATGCAAAATAAAATAATGAAGTCTCTTGCATATTTGATTGTTTTGCTATTCGTATTTGGGTCCCTTCCAATTGGAATTATGCAGCGGGGACGTAAACAAAGTGCATTAGATATGTTTATTGCTGCCCGCAACAACTAAAACTAAATGTGTTTTGCTTAATTATAGAATTATTATTCACACTTTAGCATTTATTACTCATTTACATTCGATTTCTAATTTGTATCAATTTTAAAGCTATGTTTATTGTAACAGATTACACTATTTATTTTCTTACCAATTGGAATTGGAATGAGTGACTGGAACTCACATATGGTAGTGTTGGTAAACGTGCGCCCCTGCAATGCACTTAAAAATCTCACTGCTAGCACTGCAAAATTTGTGTATAACTAGTTTTACTACTTTTATTGGCGCGAATTTACAATTCAAATTTCATGGGTTGATTTATTGCGAATCCGACTCAAGCCGAGCCGACGAGTCTTGTGCGTGGGCGCATAGATGGGCGAAAGAGCATCTTCACTTTTACGCTTGCAAATACGCTTCCTTTCGACGCGAGGCGAGTCTTGCGAGCAGCTGCGCTCCCTCACAGAGGGTTGCGGGCTGTCCTCATTCTCCTTTACATCGATTCCCCTGTGACTTGGCATTGGTGTGCTTGTCGCTGCTGCCATTGAAGCAAACCTTCTAATTGGCGTATGTCCGGCATCCGCATTGCAGTTCTCAGAATTCCGCTTCTGTTTTCGTCTTTTATTGAGAGATAAGAGATTGCGACGTGTTATTATCGAACTCTTGGTTTTTCTGTCCAAGGGCGAACGCTCCGAGAGCTGGGTTAAAGAAGATTGTAGTTCAGTTGTGCATTTGGGCGTCTCGTATATAAGATCAGGCCTGTTCTGTGTATTTAGATTCTGTTCCCGTGGGACAGTTGACTTAGGCTGCTTAACTTCTGAGTCAAGCGGGTAGATGCCATCGATAGTTTCAATTATCAATTTGGGCACTCTTCCTTCCTTAAGCGTTTGTTGGCTAGCTAGCGACTTGTTTTCGACTGTGCAGCCGTCATCAAACCGTTTCTGCGTTCCCTCTAGTTGATTTGGTTCCAAGTCAGCCATTAGCATAGCTGCCTTCTGTCTCATCTCTTCAGTTAATTTGAGCACCTTTTTCGAAGCAGTATGAAATTGAACACATTCTGAAATATTAGGCTGGACATTCTTATCATCTTCACTTATTGACTGAGAGCAACCAGCTTTCACTGTAGTTTTGTCCTTCCTTTGCTCTGTTGGGGGGTTTGTGCTCACAGTTTCCAAATCAGCCATCAGCATCGCCGCCTTCTGCTTCATCTCGTCTGTTAATTCCAGAACCTTATTCGAAGCAGTACGAAATTGAACTGGATTTGAAATTTCAGCATGCAAATTATCATTAGTACCTTCCCTTCTTGTCTGAGAGTACCCTACTTCAGTCTTCTCTTCAATCGCACTCAAGGAATCTTTTTTTGCTTCATATAGATCTGTATTTTTACCTTCCAAATCAGCCATCAGCATTGCTGCCTTCTGTTTCATCTCCTTGGTTAATGTCAGAGCTCTATTCGAAGCAGTTCGAAATTGAATATTTTCTGGAATCCCATTTTGCTTGCAGTCTGCCTTCTGTTGTGCAGGACTAACTTCCCAGTCAGTCGCTTCTTTTTGTTGCTGATCTTTGGTCGTATTTGCTCTACCATCTGGTATATCTATGGGCTGCCATTCGCTTAATGGTATCATATCCAATTGATTACTCGCGTCGAGTCCATCTGCTTCTTTGCTATCTGGTATAGCCATTGGCTGCCATTCGCTTAATGGAATCCCAGCGAGCAGTTCACAGTTTGCAGCTGCCTCGTCTCTTTTCGAGTCCGCCGCTTGATTCTGCTTCAGCATGTTCTCGTTTTCAGCTTGATCTTCTTGGCCAACTGTTTCCAAATCAGCCATTAGCATAGCTGCTTTCCTTTTCATTTCCTCTGTCAACTTCATTGCCTTATTGGACGCCGTGTGAAATTGAATACTATTTGAGTTATCAACTGGACATTTAGCTTCTACTACTTTACGTATCTCATGTAAGTATCTAGCTTTCTCCTTTGGTGGTGGCTCCTGAATTTCTATTGGATTGTCTATTAGCTCAACAGGTTGCCATTCACTGAACGCAATCATCTCCATCTCCGTTTGCTCTTTGCAATCCTTCTCTTGCTGCTCTTTTATGCTTGAGTTATCAATTTCCATGGGCTGCCATTCACTTAAGGCTATTTCCTCAAGCAATTCAATTTCTGAAGTTTCTTTAGCAGCTTCCAGCTGAGTATTTTTGGAGTGTACATTCTTATCGTCACATAAGTTGGTGTCTAAAAGATGTTATATTTATTTAAAATAATTATGAAGCGAGCCATTTATTTTTAATTTACCGAATTTACCTTGCAATTTCTCAACTCTTCCTGTAGTTTCATCTCTAAATAGTGAAAATTCAGCATTATCTGTAAAAGGAAAATTATTAGAAATTAAATAAATTAAAACATACGAATAAAATATGTAAATAAGATCAGATTTCAAATTTTTTGTCAAAAGTTCATTCTATCTTCTAGTATGTGAAAAAGTAATCGACAATCGAGAAACCGGGAAATTCAAAAACCCACTGAAAACACCGCTTGCATATGGCTTACCTATTATTTTACTATCACAGTTATCCTCAAGATATTTACATTGCTCGGTGCCGCCAATAAAGTACCCCATTTCCTCCAGAATACCAGTAGCATCCTCGTCTTCGAAGTCATTCGCTTCCAGTACTGTAGAATTCTTCAAGTCCATTTTCATGTCGGGCAAATTAATCGATTTGTTTGCATTGCTTTGAGTGCTGAAAAATGCACTCAGATTTAGTAAATTCTCACAGATCTTTTGTGAGCTATTCGGATCGAAGACACAGTTTGTCCTTGTGGGAACTTGGGTGTTGTAGTCCTCTTGCACTGACAGCTCCGAGGAACTGCAGCTCAAGCGATCCTCATCATCATCTGTGATCACTGGTGAACTAGTTTTTAGTCGTTCCTTTCTATAAGTTTTGATTCTCTTGCTTCGAAAACGAAACCAGGGCGAGTAATCCTCTAGTAACAGCTGATCATCGTCCTCGAAGTATGTGGGCGATTCGCAGAAATCCCTCAGTATTTGCTGTGCAATGTTTGCTGTCTCTGTTATATCTCTATCTGGCTCAGCGTCCTCTATGTCCTTCATATCATGTTGCTTTAACATGGATTGCAGCGTGGTAAAATTTTGAGATGCTGGTATAAGATGCACCCGTACTGGTTCTTGCTGTGCGCGCAGACAGTCCAAGCGATCGGCTTCATATTCCCAATCATCGCATGGCAATTCTTGTTTTGATTTTTCACATGATCCTCGTGTGACCGTCGACAGCTTGGGCGGTACATTGTAGGGATTTCTTCTTTTTTGGCGTAATGAGCAATGGTCACTTAATTCTGTTGGACTTGCAGTAATGCTGTAGTCGTCATCATCATCGTCATCTGCCATGTTCAACTGGCAAATCCATGCCCGAACTCCCAGGTGACGTATTTTAAGCCGCTTTGTTTATAAATTGCAATAATCGATAAGTATTTACTCTTATCGGCTACATTTGCCAGAGCTGCCACTATTTTCAATTATTATATACCTAAATGTAAAAAATACTACTACATACTAAATTAAGTTAAGTCTTTTAGTTACAATTATATTTATTATAATGAATGGGATTGCAAATATATGAAATATATAAATTTTAAATAATTTAAGGAGTGTTATTTTGAGTTCAAAAAATACCAGTTTTTGGTACATTT